GTAGAAAACTTGAAGAACATCACCAAAAAGCTTCTCCGCGCCGTTGGGAGCCTGAGACTGCTCGTTTGAGGCTACCACCAGATTCGCCCGACGAATATCCATTTCTCTCTCCCTCAACTGTAGAAATAAAGCATCGACGTCAACGTAAAAAAAGGTGGCATGTTTTGGTGTTCAGGACGCGCATTACAAAAATGATGGAGCCTGCCTGCTTCTGAAGATCGAGGGAGACGTATATGCAATGGAGGAAGTGGTTAGTAATCTCGTTGTAGTTAGTCACAAGCCTGCAGAAACAAAAGCCCTACATGGTTAACAAAATGGAACAATCATTTTCTAAACTGACGAAAAGAGGGGAGTGAATCCATTTTTTTGTCCGACACAAACCTGATTGAGTAGGCTCGTATATGCATGACAGAATCCCGCGTCCTTATAGAGCCGTTAACCACAACGTAGTCTCCATTCCTGCGAGCGTTATACGGGAAAGGTTCATTTTTTCCAGGTGTTATACAGAACATAAGCGACCATTGCAAAAATTACAAGACAATATCCCAGGAGCTAACCTAACTTCACGTAACGCCCACATGTACTCCCCGTCTATTGTCCTGAGAATGCAACAGTCGTCAAAGTTGTCATCGTCTGCGGAAGGCATGAAAATTATTTCTAACCATGCATTACGCGAGAAAAATACCATATCTTGGCTTCGATAGACCCAGTGCCATCGCCTAGAACGAAGCTGATCTCTTCCGACGATTCCGTACGGTTCCACACCCTACCAAGCAGTCGTGCCTGCAGATAAATGGAATGGGTGGAGGGGTTTTTACTGAAGAAAATGTATGGGGAAAACAGCCAAAAACAGCAAAACAAACATGTGTGCACCCTCGTGCATACCGTGTTGACAGGCATCCCATGTATCGATAGTGCCCCCCCATGCCTGGCTGAAGGAGTTAGCATGGAAACTTGCTTCAAAGTAAGAGGCACCAAGTTGTTGGGCGGATCAACGTACTGGAAAACAAACACCGGTTTACCTTACAGCAGCGAAAACTTCTGCTCACAACCAAGAGCCAAAGAACACATTCACTAACCTCCCGACCGATGTAGTGGACCAGTGCAACGCTCTCGCGTTGGGCATCCTCGACTGCAGCAACAACGGCTCCTGCAAACGCGTCGTCACCCCCAGCTGTGCTCACGGCCAAGCCCCGGTTTCTGTTCGTCCCTTCGCCATCTCCCAAATATTCCATCTCACCGGTGGCTAGATACAAAGTTGTACAGAGCGCGCGCGCGGAGCAAACAACGAGCAGGGCGCGTGATATATACAGAACAAATGGATGGACGGTGGCTTCAGATAATTACGAGCTGTTTGCGTGTGGCTGTTTGCGTGTTTACCCCTCTGCCCTGTTGCGCATGCATGGCAGCCTTTCTTTACTGTGCAGATTGCAGTTAACACGGCGCGGTAGAGTAAATGCTGCTTGTCCTATGCCCTTTTTAACACGGCGTGTTTTACTCCTCTGCTGCGCATGCATGGCAGCCTCTGTTCACTAAAACGGCAAAGCCTTACCACCTTTTACAAAACCCGGTACAGTAAATGCTGCATCTTACAAACGGTGCCAGCCGCTTCACAGCTTGCCAGACGAAAAAAGCAGTTTTTAAAACAGTGCACAGGACACCGCGCCGTGGAACTTTTGACAAATATCCGAAATTAGCCGTTGTCACATGCTTGCCGAAATCAGCTACTGCCACACCCTGCTAGCTCATAAAGGGGCGAAGTCACTTGCCTCGAATACACCTGCAAAAGCCAGGTAGTAGGCTTCCATTTTCGGCCACTGACAAGCAAAAGGTACGTCGAAGCTTTCCTCTATTGCAGTGGCGAAATTCAACAAATCATAAAATCATAACCTTATCCACTCAAAAGTTCGGATCTCAAAGCAAACGAATGGTTCTGATAGGCACCATCCGAGCTAGTGTGGGTAGCAAATCCATTCTCTCTCTCTCTCTCTCTCTCTATATATATATATATATATATATATGTATATATATATATATATATATCTTTACCTCCGGACCATTCCGGAACTCCCCGTGACGTCCGGGATCTCATCCGAGACTCCGAACAACTTTCGGTTAACCGCATACTAATATCTCTACAACTCTAGCGTCACCGAACCTTAAGTGTGTAGACCCTACGGGTTCAGGAGACACGTAGACATGACCGAGACATCTCTCTGGTCAATAACCAACAGCGGGATCTGGATACCCATGTTGGCTCCCACATGCTCCACGATGATCTCATCAGATGAACCATGATGTCGAGGATTCAATCAATCACGTATATAATTCCCTTTGTCTACCGGTATAGTACTTGCCCGAGATTCGATCGTCGGTATCCCGATACCTTGTTCAATCTCGTTACTGGCAAGTCTCTTTACTCGTTCCGTAACACATCATCTCGTGATCAACTCCTTGGTCACATTGTGCACATTATGATGATGTCCTACCGAGTGGGCCCAGAGATACCTCTCCGTTTACACGGAGTGACAAATCCCAGTCTCGATTCGTGCCAACCCAACAGACACTTTCGGAGATACCCGTAGTGCACCTTTATAGCCACCCAGTTACGTTGTGATGTTTGGTACACCCAAAGCATTCCTATGGTATCCGGGAGTTGCACAATCTCATGGTCTAAGGAAATGATACTTGACATTAGAAAAGCTTTAGCAGACGAACTATACGATCTTGTGCTAGGCTTAGGATTGGGTCTTGTCCATCACATCATTCTCCTAATGATGTGATCCCGTTATCAATGACATCCAATGTCCATGGTCAGGAAACCATGACCATCTATTGATCAATGAGCTAGTCAACTAGAGGCCTACTAGGGACATGTTGTGGTCTATGTATTCACACATGTATTACGGTTTCCGGTTAATATAATTATAGCATGAACAATAGACAATTATCATGAACAAGGAAATACAATAATAACCATTTTATTATTGCCTCCAGGGCATATTTTCAACAATGTGATACAAATCAACTAAACCATGTCCGATCATCACGTGAGGTGGAGTAGTCATCAATGGTGAACATCTCTATGTTGATCATATCTACTATATGATTCACGTTCGACCTTTCAGTCTCCAGTGTCCTAGGCCATGTCTGTACATGCTAGGCTCGTCAAGTTTAACCTGAGTATTCTGAAACTGTCTTGCACCCATTGTATGTGAACGTAGAGTCTGTCACACCCGATCATCACGTGGTGTCTCAACACGACGAACTGTCGCAATAGTGCATACTCAGGGAGAACACTTATACCTTGAAATTTTAGTTAAGGGATCATCTTATAATGCTACCGCCGTACTAAGCAAACTAAGATGCATAAAAGATAAACATCACATGCAATCAAAATATGTGACATGATTTGGCCATCATCATCTTGTGCTTTTGATCTCCATCTCCAAAGAACCGTCATGATCTCCATTGTCATCGGCTTGACACCATGATCTCCATAGTAGCTTCGTGGTCATCTCGCCAACTATTGCTTTTACAACTATCGCTACCACATAGTGATAAAGTAAAGCAATTACATGGCGTTTGCATTTCATACAATAAAGAGACAACCATAAGGCTCCTGCCGGTTGCCGATAACTTTTAAAAACATGATCATCTCATACAATAACGTATATCACATCATTCTTGACCATATCACATCACAACATGCCTTGCAAAAACAAATTAGACGTCCTCTACTTTGTGGCGAAGTATCAAGTGAAAACTGAAATTCGGTGCAAATTTGGAAACTTCCATCGTGGGACCTTGGATCAATAGCGAGTGGCAGAGATCAAAGGTGGGAGCACTAACCAGCCACGTAACTCCATTTTTCACATAACCCCCTCTTTCAGTAATTAGGTAACTCCCTGTCTTATTCTACCCGTTCCTATCCTTCCAAGTTCTAACCCAAATCTCGCCGCCGCCTCATCTAACCTATGCGACGGCGACCAGGCAAGCCCCCGTGCGATGGCGGGTGCTGCACCACGCAATGGTGATTCGGCGGCCTCAGCGCTACTTCAGGCAACGACCACTCGGTGCCCTCGGGGCTGCTCCGACGCGACGACGAGTCTGACGGCCTTGGCGCTGCCCGTCCTGCCCGTCCCACCCCAGTGCGATGGCAGCCCGCCGACCTTGGCGCTGCTTGCCCTTCGAAGTTATTGGTCTGTATTTGCTGTCGTCCAAATTCTAGTGCAGCCAATTGGATTGGGCTAGCTTTTGGTTAGTTGTTCATATTCAGTTCCTTAGCTGAATGAATGTTGCAGCGTGCAGCCTAAAGAAAAATTTAAGTTCCCCAGAAATCCACTATAAAGAAATCACAGAGTATTGGAGCAGATGGAAACCCCCAAATGAAGATTACCTGAAGATCAAGTGCTCTGTTTCAAGAAGCAAAATTTAAACTGACCTTTTATTTCAGTTCTGCTTTCTATTGTGTGATGACCCAAGTCTTGTAATTAAATTTTCATTGACCGAGTGTAATCTCACCCTCGCCCCCAACTCTCTCTCAACCTTTGTAAATGTACTCTATCTTATAATGAAATGGTTCAGGCCGGTGTAAGTCCGCCGTAGTTCCGTCAAAAAAAAGTCCAACTCTGTAATATGTATCTTCGTTTTTGTTTGCTTTGGTCGTTGCAATTCTGTGTGGTGGCTTTCCCCTCGTCTCCTATTCTAATATATTCACATACAACTCTTCGAATTTCTGATGTAATCAACGGATCTATGATTAGTACTCCTACATTACTAAGACCTCACGAGCCACTGTGTTACTTCCACTACCCGTGAACTGGAACATGTAGTTAGGAAAACGGCCACACATCACATTGATCTTCCTGAGCTCTCATGGCACCATTTGCAGAGAGAAGCTTCAAGTATTTTCAGTTTGTCGATGACCAGCAAACAATCACATTCAAAAACTACACGGAAGTTGCACAACTCCAATACCTATTTTTTAATTGCACAACTCCAGCACTAACTTTTTTCTTTTTGCGAGTGTGCTCCAGCACCAACTGAACAGCAACTTTCCGTGCACAAGCTTCAACATATCCAGGTAAAGTACTTCAGAGAACAGAGTTTGTGCTGGACAATTCTTCAGAGAACTGCAAAATCAGTGTACAGTTCTTCAGAGAACGACGTAGCGTGGGGGCAACCCGCGGTTGTCAAGTTGCCCTTCGAGGTTGCCACATCCGGACGCCGCTGTGCTTCACGCAACCTACACTGCAGGTCACGGCCACCGTTACGGCGTCGCGTGGAGCTCAGAGGTGCTGTTAGCGATGCGTGGCTGTGTTGCTCTACTTCACCTCCGGGGCTGCGCCGGCGAGCTCTTCGCCTCCTACGCAGTCCCAATCCCTTGCCGCAAGGTCCACGTCGTCGGTGAGGGAGGCTCCCTGGACCGACACCACGGGCACCCTCGCCAGTGCGTCCCTTGACTCGGCTTCTCGGGACTGCGCTCCCCGCCGAGGGGAGCTTCGGCACGGTGCGCGGCTGCGTCGCCACAGTTGGGAGCCCCGTCAGCTATGCCCGCCTACCTCCGTGGCATTCACCGCGGCAGCAGCGCCATGGGGCGGGGCGAGTTAGGTTGGATACGGCCAAGTAATCTGGTAATCATTGAGATAAGAGGGGGTTTCTGCTAATTGACGTTTAAGTGGCCAGTTAGAATTCCCACCTTTGGTCTTTGCCGTTCTTTGTAGATCTAATGGCTCACACGGCAAGTTTCCAGATTTTCACTGAAAATCAGTTTTCACTCGATACTTCGCCCTACTTTGTTGTTGCAAGTTTTATGTGGCTGCTACGGGCTTCTAGCAAAAACCGTTCTTACCTACGCATCAAAACCACAACGGTGATTTATCAAGTTTGCTATTTTTACCTTCAACAAGGATCGACCGCAGTCAAATTTGATTCAACTAAAGTCGGAGAAACAGACACCCGCCAGCCACCTTTATGCAAAACTAGTTGCATGTATTTGTCGGTGGAACCGGTCTCATGAACGTGGTCATGTAAGGTTGGTCCGGGCCGCTTCATCCAACAATATCGCTCTATCAGAATAAGACATTGGTGGTAAGCAGTATGATGATCACCGCCCAAAACTCTTTGTGTTCTACTGGTGCATATCATCTACGCATAGACCTGGTTCTGATGCCACTGTTGGTAAACGTGGCATGCAATTTCAAAAAAATTCCTACGCTCACACAACATCTATCTAGAAGATGCATAGTAACAAGGGGGAGAGCGTGTCTACGTACCCTTGTAGACTATAAGCGGAAGCATTTGACAATGCGGTTGATGTAGTTGAACTTCTTCTAGCTCCGACCGATCAAGTACCGAACGCACGGCACCTCTGAGTTCTACACGCGTTCAGCTCGGTGACGTCCCTCGCTTTCTTGATCTAGCAAGACGTCAAGGTAGTAGATGAGTTCCGCCAGCACGACGGCATGGTGACGGTGATGGTGAAGTGATCCTTGCAGGGCTTCGCCTAAGAACTAAGATATGACTGAGGGTGTAAATTGTAGAGGGGGCACCGCACACGGCTAGGCAATTGTCTGTTGTGTGCTAGGCGCCCCCTCCTCATATATATAGGTGGGAGGGAGGAGCAACCATAGGAGGTTTCCAAGTAGGAGGAATACTACTTGGAGTCCCTCCAAGCCGCACGCCCCCTTGCCATATATAACCGAGGTGGAAGGAAAGAGGGGGGATAGGGAAGAAAGTAGGAATCCTAATCCACACTTCCCTTGCCCTGCCCTCTTTCCTTCTCCTCCTCATAGGGCTGGACTCTATAGGGGCGCACTAGGGCTGGTGTGTTTGCTCACTTGGCCAATAAAGCCCATATCTTTGTCGGGGATGCCTGAAACTCCTTTTTAGTGACCCAATAAGTACCCGATACCCTCCAGAACACTTCCGGTGTCCGAATACCATCGCCTTATATATCAATCTTTACATCTCGGCCATTTCGATACTCGTCGTCATGTCCGTGATCTCATCCGGGACTCCGAACAATATTCGGTCACCAAATCACATAACTCATATAATTCTAAATTGTCATCGCACGTTAAGGGTGCGGACCCTACGGGTTCGAGAACTATGTAGACATGACCGAGACACCTCTTCGGTCAATAACCAATAGCGGAGCCTGGATGCTCATATTGGCTCCTACATATTCTACAAATATATTTATCGGTCGAACCTTTATGACAGCATACGTAATTCCCTTTGCCAATCGATATGTTACTTGCCCGAGATTCGATCATCGGTATCTTCATACCTAGTTAAATGTCATTACCGGCAAGTCTCTTTACTCGTTCTGTAATGCATCTTCTTGTAACTAACTCATTAGTCACTTTGCTTGCAAGGCTTCTTATGATGTGCATTACCGAGAGGGCCTAGAGATACCTCTCCGATACTCGGAGTGACAAATCCTAATCTCGATCTATGCCAACCCAACAAACACCTTCGGAGATACTTGTAGAACATCTTTATAATCACCCAGATACATTGTGATGTTTGATAGCATACAAGGTATTCCTCCGGTATCTGGGAGTTGCATAATCTCATAGTCGAAGGAATATACATTTGACATGAAGAAAGCAGTAGCAATAAAACTGAACGATCAATATGCTAAGCCAATGGATGGGTCTTGTCCATCACATCATTCTCCTAATGATGTAATCCCGTTCATCAAATGACAACACATGTTTATGGTGAGGAAACTTAACCATCTTTGATTAACGAGCTAGTCTAGTAAAGGCTTACTAGGGACACGGTGTTTTGTCTATGTATCCACACATGTATCAAGTTTCTGGTTAATACAATTCTAGCATCAATAATACAAATTTATCATGATATAAGGAAATATAAAATAACAACTTTATTATTGCCTCTAGGGCATATTTCCTTCACTGAGCTCTATGGAAGCACCCTTCCCCTCTGGCTGAAACACCCTCTTTACCACTCCGATGAGTTGCACAATCGGACATAGGGACGATATGGGGGAAGAATATGCCTCCGGACTCCCGACAGTCCGGTTAGCGGGCTTTCGGACAAGGGGAAGACAAAGGAATCTACCGCATCAGGCCCTAGACTAGTGCCAGTCCGTGTATTGGGAGTGGAGCTCCGCACGACCGTACGTGCTCATAGTTCTACCTTTTTAGTTGAAAATATGTCCAAAATGTAACCATTTTTGTCCAGTTTGTAGAAATCCGCAATGTTCATAAGAAATCCGGCCAAGTTTGCATGAATTTCATCTGGTTTGTTGAAAAAGAGTTTGAAATGTATGCGGCTACGGTTGGATGGCGGCATTCCGCATCCGCATCTGTTGACTGGCCCCCCTTGTCCGAGGACGGATGCTGTTGGAGATGCCCTTAACCCCCAAACTAGCAAATCTCCTCAACTTTAAAACCAGATAAGTTCAGTCCCTCCTGCTACATACTTTGGGTGGTTTCCCACCAATATGGATGGTATACAGGGGAGAATGGGGAGCAGGGAAGGTCGGGAAGGATGTGTGCTGCCGAGGGTGTGCGTGCTACCTGCAATGCACACGCTGGCGAGCTATGGAACCACTGTAAGGCGACTCCTCAAGTGTCGCGACTTTGCACACCACGAGGTTTGTTCATTTGCTCTCCAGAATAGGAAACCCCCCTTGTGTGGTACTGCCCAGACAACCGTCGAACAAGATATTCACCCCGCTGCCATTGTCATCGTCATGTGTGTTGTGCTTCTGTTGCTGCCCCAGCGACACTCTCCCGAAGCCCTGCATGTCTGATGCGTCAAGGATGTCCAAGTCGAGGTGGTGATGGTCCATGATGTCGATGCTCTCCATCTATGCCAGGGTGCCGAAGATGTTGACGATAGAGGCGAGCGAGTTGGCGTCGTGCACATGCAGTTGCTCCCTTGTCGCTTCCGATCATCGGTCCCAGCATGCTTGCCTTTGTCTACAGCCATTCTGACTTGCAACGAGCCACCATTCGTCGATGGAAACAAGATGTATACCATGTATGCTAGTTTTTTGATGAAAAGCATGCATTGGGTGCCGCTGGCCGACCCTGTCTCCGGGAGCGGCGAGGTCCTGACTCCCACATAGCGTTTGGCCGTTTAGACGTTGAAGATGTTCCTTACATGTCGGGCCCATAGGTAAGTGAGAGACATACAGATCAAGAATTAAAGTTAAAAAATGTGTAGATGAGGTGGGGGCCACACTTGTCAGCTTGAGTAAAAAACAACTCCACATGATCACCTGAAGCTGCACGAGGGACTAAACTTCTGGTTTTAAATGTTGAGGGACTAAGGTTTGTTGGTTTTGAAGTTTAGGGAACATTTTTGTATTTTTGATTAAGTTGAAGGAAGAAAAATATACTTTCCCCATTATTCATCTATAGTTTGATTTATATTATTGGCTTTTCCCATGCTACT